GCATTAGAGTGAATTCAACGTAACATAAATGAGACGCGGGATTGGGGCAACCTCGGGCCGATCGAACCATCGCGCGAGGTGGAGGTGTTGCGTCATGAAAGCCCCCTGAGTTAGTCACCGTGACTCAATCCCCCCCATAACAAATGTATGTCCCAGTGGCGGGCTTGCCGTGGTTGGGAATAAATACAACACCCCCCCGCCAGCACCAGACACAACACCCGTCTCAGTAACAGTCTTCGTCACACCATCAGACATCGTCCTCCCCACTGACTCGTCCGCCACCCTCAACCTCAAAACCTCCACCTCGGCAGGAACAGTTCAAATAATCGCCACAACCGAAACCCCGTCCCCGGCTCCACCTGCCAGCGGTACGCTGCCTCAAGGAACGGTGATAGGGATAGGCGTTGGCTCAGCCTTAGGGGGTATCGCCCTCATTGCCACGTTGGTGTTCTTCTTCCTCCGCTACCGAAGAAAGAACCCCCCTCCCTCGACCGATGACTCGACCGTGGGCCGCAACTCCCAAACGGCGGCCATTTCTGGCGGTGGAGCGGGTGGGGGAGCTGGTGGGGGAGCACACGACAGCGCGTTATACGGCATTTTCGGAAGAAAAGAAATTGATTCCAGGTCTCCAAGCGTGACCGTCAGTTCGCCCGTCGCCGGTTCACCCTCCCCCGGGAACCTCACCGGGGCCGGGACGGTCAGTTCCATGTCGCCTCCACCACCGGAGCGACAGCAAAGAGGGGGGAGTTATGTCTCTGAACTTGAACAACATGCGGGACGGAGGACACCCGGGATGGGGGAGCTGCATGAGACGACGAGGGGGTCGGAACTTTATGATACGGGGTATGGTGGCTATGGATGGAAGCCGCCGCAGGAGTTGTCTGCGAGGAGGTTCTCGCCTGGACTGCAGGAGATGCCTGAGGAGCCTGGGCATTATGCGGGCATGGGGCAGGATAGGCCTGTGCCGTATAGGCAGTATGATGGGGCTGCTGTGCCGGATTTGAGTGTTGGGTCGACGCCGCAGATGAGGGGGGTGAGGGGGGAGGATCCGTATGGGTTGGGGGATGTGCCTTATCCGAGCGCAGAGTTGTTGGCTAGGGGGTACGGGGCTGGGCCTGGGGGTGGGCAGGGGCAGGGGCGGGGTTGGGAGGGAGGGTGATGGGATGGAGTAGGGGGTTTTGGATTAATTGTCAAAACTGAGGGTTTGTGGTTCTGTAATGTATGTGGTCAGGGGCTGGAATAGGGGGTGGGATTTAGCTTGGCAACCAAAGGGTGGAGAGGGCTGGCGTGGCATCTTATCCTGGGATTTTATTCAATGCTCATCTTATCTTAAAGATCTTATCCTGAGGTTTTTATTCGATGCTGATCTTATCGTAAAGATCTCATCATACCTGGCGCTGTTCTCGATACGGGTGGCTTCTCAATCCACGTGCACAACGTGATGCCCTGTCTGCACCCACGTCTGTGTATTTGTAGCTCCGTTTGGTCTGCTATAGTGCGGTAGCATGGCCTTTGGGTGAGACAGTAAACGAATTGGCACATCTGCAAATAGCCCTGATTGCGTGTGCATCTTTCCGTGTGCAAAACGTTCAGGAACCCTCTTTACAGCCTGGAAGTGAGGGAAGTGTAGAACTTGGGTGGTCACGTGAGTTCGTGTTAACCTCCTGTCGTGGACAAAGACCGCATGCGGACCTTTTGAGTGCTCTGCTTGGCCGGCGCGGGGTAAATTCAATTGAATCTCTATTTTCTTTGTTTGTTGTTTTCGCGTCGTGCTCCGATGGTTTTAAATGAAACATCGAGCCCATGGTTCGGCGCCCGTCGACCGGTACCATGCCGGCAAACGCCCATCGCCGAATATATTTTGAGGGCCTTTTAAGGTTCTTGTAGATTCAATCTTGGAAGCTTTCTCCACTTCCCCAAACTTTCCCCTGGCATCCGGGACGGCATTAAACGTTGCCATCATCACCAGGCAGAGGCGGGAAGACCAGCCAAACGGAGACATATCTCCACGCCAGCCTTTCCGTATCAGCAGGTAAGTTGATGGGTTTTTTTTTGAGAGTTGCTTGGATCAAAGCTAATATTGGTTCGTGTAGGTCGCGCCAGGCTTCCACATGTATGAATGCGGGGATTGCTATCGCCGCTTCCCCAGCGGCTGGCGCGCCCGTGACCAGCACTGGGAGGCCACCGGCCACAGCATTCCCGATTTTGAGTGCTTCACTTGCGACGAGTACTTCAACGACAACTGGGACCGCTCTGAGCACATGTGGGACTACCGCCATCTTCCCGACGAATACTACGAATGCGAGAAATGCATCGAGGTTTTTGAGACCCAGTCCGAGGCCACCAGACATGAGGTTGAGCGCCATCACTATTGCAACGTCTGCCATCGCACCTTCGACAATCTCAACAGATCCACCCAGCGACTCGCCTCTGATCTCGGACTGCCAGCGCCTGGCGAACAATCTTTCTGGGAATGGCACCTTCAAGTACAGCAGCTTTGGCAGGCACAAGACGCTTGCTCAGTATGGATCTTGGTAAGTCTTTACGGTGTTTCAAGGTATGAGGATGGATAGGTACGGGTTGACTGACTGGCATGTTGGAATAAACAGCGCGTTGGGCGTTGAGGCAGATGAGTACTGGATTAATAGTATTACGCATATTGGTGATCAGGATATTGTGGAGCCGGAATACGGGAGTGGATGTGTATTACTGGGCGTTGCTGGACTCGGGAACCTAAATAGAATAATATAATATTGAAGGTTATAGGTCGACGGTCCACGGTCCCGAGAGTTATATATACGGAGGAACTAAATAGCTTGAAGATAGTTCCGCAGCATGCAATTACAAGTCACATTCGTTGGTATCAAGACTATTGTGATTGAGACAGTTTAGCTGCACCGAACCAATTGCCTAGAAGCACCTTCAACTGAGTATTCCTTTCAGAGGTTCTGGATCGGGGTTCGTCACAATGTTGTCCGAGTCATTAGCACGAGGCTATCCCCATTTGGTCCATGGGGAGAAGGGAACTTCAACGACAAGCGCCAACCCTAACCCTTGTGATGGATTCTGTGTTGTTTGTTTACCTTGGTCTCCTTTAGGCACTCATCTATCGTCCCATGTGTCTGGTTCTCGGGTTTCAAGAGCCGGAAATACCTGTACAACCCAGGTACAAAGGGTCCGTCAGCTCTTCACCCAAACAAAGTACCCCTCCCTCTCTCGATCGAGGCCTTCTTCCCCGCACCAACCTCCAACGGCCCCCTCACCTGAGGGCCAGTACCTATGCGATTCAAGCTAACGCAACGGCAATAAATCAACAGCCCGGGTATCACAGCTGACCTGCATGGTCCCGCATTTGTACACGATGCCGAGTCCCAAGAAGGCGTGGTCACCGATTTGCTCCCTGCATGCTGGACGCCATGTACGTAAGTGAGGTGCAGGACATTGTAGATGGTCGATGTGACGGTGGGGTAAGCGAGCATAAGAACGACTTACCTCCCCTACGATGAACCTCTACCGAGAAGAACACCCCTCAACTTTGAACACGCCAGGCCCTCACCATGACTGACGACAACCCCCGCCCCTTCAAGAAAGTACATCACCCTCCCCAACACCCTCATCCCGTAACCATGGGTCTGACAGCCCTCCCAAGGTCCTCATAGTAGGCGCCGGCCCCTCAGGCCTCCTCCTCGCCCTCCTCCTAGCAAAGCACTCCATCCCCGTCAAAGTCCTCGAATCCGCCTCCCAGCTCGACCAGCAACCCCGCGCAGCCCACTACGGCACCCCCGCCATCCCCGAGTTCATCCGTGCCGGCATCATCGACCAGCTCCGCGCCAACGGCCTCATCCTCTCGACCATGTGCTGGCGCGATCCTGACAGCCACAAGATCATTGCCGGGTTTGACGCCTCCAAAGTCCTCAGTGATGTCGACGGCCAAGACCTGAGAACACACTGCTATGTCCTGCAGGATTTGGACGAGCTGATGCTGAAGGAGGTGAGGAAGTACGGTGGGGAGGTGGAGTTTGATGCCGAGGTTGTCGGGGTTGGTCAGGATGAGGATGGCGAGGTGGGGGGGAGGGCGTGGGTGGAGGTGAAGAGGAAGGGAGGGGAGGTGGAGAGGGAGGAGGCGGATTATGTGGTTGGTTGTGATGGGGCAAATAGTATTGTCAGGAGGAGCTTGTTCGGGGATCAGTTTCCTGGGTTTACTTGGGACGCGCAGATTATTGCTACTAATGTTTGTTTACTTTTCTCATTGTTGTTGTTTTGGGCGTGGCTGGGGCTGACATGGAAACAACAGACGTTTTACGACTTTGAGGGAAAGTTTGGGTGGCATGATGCGAATTTCATCGTTCACCCGGAGAACTTCTTTGTAAGCGCCCCTTTGCTGGCAAGGAAAAAGGATCAGGATAGGTGCTAACAACTGCAAGATGGCCGCCCGCATCACAAAAGACAACATGTACCGCATCACCTACGGCGAAACACCCGGCCTGACCCGAGAAGAGTACATCGCCCGTCAACCCATGAAATTCCAACAGATGCTCCCCGGCCACCCCAAGCCAGACGAGTACAAGATTGTCAATATTTCACCTTACAAGATGCACCAACGATGTGCCCCCAAATTCCGAGTTGGTCGCATCCTCCTAGCAGCAGACGCAGCCCATCTGTGTAACCCATGGGGAGGGCTGGGCATAACAGGTGGCTTTGTCGATGTTGGTGGCCTGTTTGACTGTCTTGTGGGGATATGGGAAAACAAGGCCGGTGAGGATATTCTGGAGCTGTACTCTGAGAAGAGGATTGAGAAGTGGCAGACTGTTATCAACCCCATTTCACAAGAGAACTTCAGGCGAGTGTCTGATAAGGATCCGAGGACGAGATTTGAGAGGGACGAGTTTATGCAGCTGTTGAAGAAGGGGGAGACGGATGATGTTTTGTTGAAGGATTTGCTTCTCGGATTCATGGAGGTCAGGTACGACTTTACGCAGCATTATAAGGTCAGGTGATGCTTGCGGGTAGGACTGGGTCATGAGCCACCCTGGATGGAAGGATGCAAAGGAGGCAGGATAAGGTAGCCTTGAAAGCTTCAGTGTGATAAGGAACCTATACGGACTGTAGCTTAGTTCCACATCTTGCCCCTTCGGAAAAGCAAGGTGCACAAACACCTTGCATGAAGTCTCCGGCCGTGGTGGAGAAGGGAATTTGAGCCGCTCCAATGGAGCGTTGACCAACGAATACTACCGTAGTTGACATCAACGCATTGCGGATCCACTGGTAGTGACTTGGGTGCCGAGGTGATATAGAGGCTCTGATAACTCCCGCAAGGTGCCGGAGAGTAGATCAAAGACGCGCGTCCGTCCAGGAATTGTTCTCCACAAAGCTTTCTGAGGACTCCTCCTCACCCAGCGTCAGCGGCAATCCCCTGGCAAAGTACAACATGGTGTCGTCTTGGATTCGTCCAAAGGCACCTGACGAAGGTGACTGCCTCATTCTCGTTTATATCCTTATATCCGGTGCCTGGCTTCCCAGGCGCAACATCAGTGTGTAAAGATATGAAGACTCAAAAGAGTAGGAAGGAGAGTCTGGGTAGGTTTAGGATAGGTCGGCATAATGTCACAAGGCGATGGTTGTGTTGACGTAACAGCATGTTGTATTGGCAGGATCACTAGTATCAAAGGAGAGAGCCGCTTGTGGTGGGGCGTAAGCAGTACTAAATGCGAGCGTGGCTACTCCGACTGGCGAGCAGGCAGCTATCTGTTTGTGATGTAACCGACTGGCTCTAGATCTCTAGAAGGATTCGAATACTCCATAACACTAAGTTCATTCAGCGAGCGCTGTCAGGCTGTCCGTAAACCAACGTTGAATCAGGCTAGTATGCAAATACAAGGCTAAGGAAGTCCGATGTGTAGTCCGAGATGGTCGCTCCAGCCTTGTTGGCTCTGAAAGATATGTCTAGGGAGGTAGGTATAAAGTCTCTTCTTCTGCTCCTTTTCAGACTGGATATCTCACCACCAAGCTCTCACAGACCAGCTCTTTACTAGGACTTCAGCCATCTCAGCCTATTCCATTCCACTCGTCGAAGATGCATTTCTCTCAGATCATCCAGTTCACCCTCGTCCTGGCCGGACTGGCCTGCGCCGCTCCTCAGTCCAACCCCCTCCTCGAGACCGTCATGCTCTCCAACGGCGAGACCACCGTGGCCGTCCAGGTCGAGGCGATGTCCCCTGCCAGCACCGGCCCCCATATCGGCGGCGAGATCCTCGCCCGCGGCCAGCTCGTCTCCCGCCAGGACTCGATCAACTGCAAGGGCAGCAGCTTGTGCAGCAACAGGCAAGGTTTCAAGGACAGCTGCACCACGGCCAAGAACAAGATCGAGGACACCACGTACGCGAGTGGTGGCACGTAAGTCCGCCTTTAGCCCTTTTCTTCCTTTTATTCCTCCTCCCAATGGCTGGTACCTAACACAGTCGGCACAAACAGTAAAAGCGGCACGTGCAGCGGAAACTGCGGCATCTTTGTTCAGGGCAAGGATTGCATCGCGACCGGAGCTGTTATGAGGAGCGCCTACAACGCGATCCGCAACAACGGATGCCAGGCTTGCGGGTCAGCCCACTGTAAGTCACAATGTCAATCCCGACAGTTTCAAACGCGCTTTGGTTCCTAACACGACGGTGTTGCACAGGGAACAATGGTTGCTACATCACCATCAACTATATCACCGGTTGCTGATCGGCCCTCTTCCAGCCTGACACCGGACAGGTTCTTTCGTGATGGCCGTGACCTTGACAGAATCAAGAAAGCACGCTAACGTTTGCTGAGAGCTGTGATGAATATGGGATTCCGTTGTGAATCAGAGATCGGGTAAAGGGATGATGAGGAACGAAGAATGCGGGGGTTGAGAAATAGAAAAAGAGATTGCGTGGGCAGGTACATAGTCTAGACCCGTTCGTAAATATACATCATATATCTCTGGCTTTCTTATAGCACCTATCTGGTAAACCAGGTGCCTAGCTAATGTGTAAGAGTGGGATGGGCTTGCTCCTCGGGCTACCTATCTCTAGATAGACAGGTGAGCTCAAGGTACTGGTGTGTCAGGAAAAAGCATTGTTTGGCATTAACTAGAACTAAAGTAAGGAAAGGAACAACAGGATCAGTTTGTCGGAAAAGAAAAAGCACAGCCGTTTTTTGTCATCATTCGTCATCCTCGTCCTCATCGCTTCCAGCTTTCTTCCCTTTCTTGTTTTTGTTGGAGCCGCCTTTCCTCCCCTCGCTCTTCATCCCCTTTGTATCTTTGCACTTTTTGCCAGTCTTGCTGCCCTCGCCACCCTTTTTCTTCACTTTCCTCTTGTCCTGCTCATCCGGCTCCTCTTCATCGCTGTCCTCCTCAGTCTCTGTCTGATCCTTACTTTCGGTTTCCTCAGAGTCATCGGCCTCACTCTCGTCAGAATCGAAGTAGTCCTTGTTCTTCTTTTTTATCTTTCTCATGAAGCTGTCCTCTCCGGCCTGTTCCCGCTTCGTCAAACCCCCTTGTTGCTTTAAGGTATGCGTTGAATTCAATTGTCACATTTGGCACGATTTCGAAGCAACGCTTGGTCAACACTGGCCTTGTGTGACAAGGGCTGCAATATCAGGGCTTGGAACTCATGGTTCAATTCAGACTAATAATCTTCAATGGCCTCGAAGTCTGTGATACTGAAAGTGAAGAAGGAAATACAGTCTTGATGATCCTGAACGCGTATTTTATCTTCCCTCGCGTGGCCCGTGCCCTTGTTGGCCTCAGGCCATCGCCAAGTCCTCCAATATCCTTCTGGGCCAGTGGGCTTTCTTTGATAACCGCCTTGCCTCTGATTGTCTGCCTCACTCTTGACGAGAGGCTCACGACGTGCAGCTTCCCCTCCTTAAGGTGATATTTGGCGTTGTTGTTGGTCATGGTTGTTGGTGGTTGGTGGTCGGCATTTGCCGTGTGACACCTTGGATCCTGGCCATCGCTGGTTTGTTTGCGCTTGGCTTTGAACTCAGCGAGTGCCATGACAGTCTGGAAAGAATTCCTGATCTGGCGCCCGTTCCAGCGGAGCGTCTTCCATTGCTCGTTAGCTCATTCGACTATTCTGTCTTGCTGATCCTTGTACTCAAACGGCGGGAGGTTGTGCTCCTGACGGCCCTCGTTGATCTTCTCAAGGCGTTCGAAGTTGTGCCTGAAGATTTCGATGGTCTGGTCGCTTCTGGGAGTCGGATGGCAGAGTGTCAGATGAAGCCAAGAACGAAAGGCGTCATCAATCGCTCCGACCGGGTTAGTGGCGAGAAAACGAATCCCAGAGTAGCACTCGAGGATTCGCAGAAAAGACAGAGACTAGGCCGTTACTGTTGGACATCTCGTTGCTGCTTTTTTTTTGTTGCGAGTCGCCTTTTCAGCTACCAAGGGCTAGGGCAAAACTCACCTCCCGTCTGGCAAGAAACACGTCCGCTTCCATCAAGGAGAAGGACACAACCCCATTTGTGGGCAAGCCTGAAGTGGTCCTCCATGTTCCTCTCAACATCCTCAGGATTGTATCCAGTGTCGCCTGTCGCTAGTCAGAATCAGATATGAATTTGGCATTTTGGACACATATCGCATGTGATGGGATAGAGCGGCTTCTTTGTGTGAGCAGCAACGCACTCTAGCTCTAGCGTTAGGTCCTCGATCCACAAACGTTGAGATGAAAGGAGAGTGTTTTGCCTACCAGCCGTGGATGTTTTTCCAACCCCAAGGACACCGTGTAGAAGAAGTATGATGCAGCCTTTGCCTGGAAGGCAACGTTATGTGTAAGCTTTCACAATGTTTCAAGACGGATTGAAAGCCATTAACCGGTGTACGCCTTTTCCACTCATCTTTTCCAGGCACCGCGTCCATTTCCGGTGGCCGGATGACCATCTGGCTTGTCAGTCGCATGTGTTTCAACCATGGCCTGCACCACTTTCCGATGGCCTGGGGGTAGAACAAGGTCATTCCAGCCGTAGTTGTGCTCAACCTGGCGTAGCTTCGATAGCTCTAGTAAAGCTGCAAGGGAAAAGGTTTTAGTGAGCACACCCATATTCTCCTCAACAAACGAAACGGCATAGGTAAGTGGGAAACACATACCCTACCCCATTTTCGATTTCGTAGAGAAAAGCCAGGCACCGTCCCGGGTAGCAAATGGAGCATTTTTGGTCTCAAATGGTCATTCACGAAGCTGTTTTGAGACTCGGCCAGCAAACTCCCGAGTCCCCTTCTTATAGTTGGGTCCCGCCTCACGGCTATTGCCATGGTGTATGGACCGAAGGAATACCCCTCGTTGACGTGTGCGCGACACCACCTATTGCCGCAACTTGGCGCGCCGGTAATGCAAGCTTCGTCCGGGTCTGTCATGCTGTACCTCGCCATTTCCCTAGACTCTGTTGGCTTCGTAAATATTGGTAGCTGCATGCCTGTTCTTTCCTAAGACTGTTTGTCCTCGACGAAGGCCATCCACATATCGATAATAACAGGGCTATCGATCTGTGGAAGAATGCGTAATCAGATGTTAGAATTATAATGTTTGATAAGACGAGAAGTCTCAAAGAGCCACAAAGATGGGATACCTATCTTACCTCGTCGCGGCTTGGTCCCACCGTAAGGCCCTGGTGCTGCATGTGTGATACACTTGTAGCATCGACGAACCTCTCGCCCCGAATATCAAGCTTCTTCTTGTCGAAATAACTCATGGGATAAGCCTCCAGGCTGCGGATGTCCATTTCGCCTTCGAATGGTTTGAATACGAACAAATCATCAACACAGCCATACTCATGGCCATTGAAATCCAAATGAGAGCAATGAACAACCAAGTCCGTCATAACCCCTCGGACTTTCAACAACGGTCTGGTTCCTGCAGGTCGTTGCGAGGTCGATGATGTGGTAACATGATCCTGCTCTGTGAAATCGGTGGGCTTCAAGGTACTGAAAAACACTACCAGGCTTAACGTGGACGTCGTCTTCGGGTACGGGCAAGGAGCTCTCGACAAAGGTGCCGGGCACCCATCGAATCGCACGTCGGTACGAGCCTCCCTGGCCAGATGTACGTTCCAGCTTTCTGCATCATCTTGTTCTTGTTCCGATAGGTCAAAGAAATGAACCGTCAGTTGTATATCTTGTGCCTTGCGCCGTTCTGGTACAGTGTGCGTTGTTTGAGATGGGCGTTCCAAAAGCCTCAGGCAAAATTCCAGATTACTTAAAGATTCCCCAACATCAATGGCGCTGATCGGTGGTGCGGGGGGGTAACGGCACGTGTTCTGGGTTGCGAAACCTGGCCCTGGATTCGCCGTCAGAGTCGTCCTCAGATTCATTACTCAGTTCGTCTAGGCTACCATCGTCAGACGGTTGGTGTGTAGGGTCCTGGCCATCCACAAGCACTCTGGAGCTGTTCTCCGTCGCTTCACAGGGGGGTATGTCTGCCTCGTCCCTGGAATCGCGTTGTTGTTCCTCGGTCTCAAGCGATCCAACCAACCTGTCGATCTCCGATTAAGGATCTAACATGCAACCAGGAGTTAGTGTGCACAGTTGATAAAGGGGGAACTGAGGTGATATCAACTTACCATGCTTGATGCTATTTAGAAGGTCATTGCAGGCTGAATACATCTGGTTTCCTCAACTATGAGGTTAGAGAAGTACACAGCAGGGATAACCGGCAGCTTCCATCTCAATTGGAGGAATAAAGACGGCTTGAATAACTGAAAAGAAAAGTCGAACCAGCGCTCAGTGCAAAGTGGTACGACAGAGGCAGCACCTTGGCACGACGTGGACAACGCACTGGCAGTGCTTCGTCGAGTACGACTCCAGGTCAAGGGAAGCCTGGGGGTTTGTTTAACATTTGGAATAAATGGTTGGTGGAAAAATATGGACGCGAGAGCTGTGTTCTTCAAATTTGAGTGTCGCGGTTGAGACGAATCCAGAAACTGGACGACCTGGAAGCTCATGTTCTCATAGATTCGGGCTCTTGCAGGGCATGAGCGCTCAAGTTCAACTCGAGCATGTCACATAAAGCTGCAGAGGAAGTGAGACCTTGTGGTACAGTGAGTTAGTTGGTAACGAGGCGGGAAATGCCTTCCCGCAAAGAACAGAAAGCAAACCTGTTTCAGGTTCTTGAAGCCAGCCGCCTCCCCCGCCCAAACAGAACACCAAATCTGCACCCTCGCGCATGTTGTCCTTGACCCCTTTGGTGCTTTCATCTCGGGAGGCTTCGCTGTGATATTGGCTGTGAGCAGATCCACCTCCAGCGAAAGCAACCTCTGCTAACGAGTGGGAAATTAGGCAGTTGAGAAACATGTCAAAGAAAGAGACACTATCCAAAACTTTCTCGCCAATATTCCCGAGAGATTGAACAGCATCCAACGGCTTTCTGACATGTGTGCAGAGACCGAAAGCTTTCATGTTGAAATGAATGGCGTGCTGGTGTCCATCTTTGGGGTGTTGGAGAGTATTGTCGAGAAGCTGACAGATACATGGACCTGTAAGTGTTCAACCGAGGACAATATCCCGCACCTCTGGGTTCTGTCGATCCCAGCCCTCCTTCCAAATGGTACCACATCCCCTTCGATATGCAATTCCCTCCCTCCGCTCAACCCACAAAACATTGTAAAACTGGAACTCCTCCAGCTCACGAGTTTCCTCGTTCAGTCCCCATTCCGGCAGGTATATCTCCTTGAGCCACTTCGACCTCGTGTAGTATGCCTTCCCTTCCGATATCACGATACACTCACACAGCGCATCCTTTTCCAAAACCGGATCCTCCCTCGTGAAAGGAACCTTCAACCTGCCCACTATTTTCCCAGAACTATCCACAAAATGGTAGTTCACAAACGGCGCCATCTCTTCTTCCCAGGCAACCCTGACCAGCTTGCTGGTCTCTTCCTTCTCAGGCTGCACCCGAAAAGAAGCCACCGACACACTCCCATGAAGAAGCCAACCCAACTTCTCCTTCTCCACCGTAAGCCCGCCTGTATCAATCGTCGGCACATCAAAGAACTTCAAATCCAACCCCCCAACACCCCCTTGCTTGAACATCCGAGCGAGATGCGGAGTGAGGTTGACAAAGCTGATCGGCTCATCAGCAGGAGCATGATACCACCTGACCACCGGAGTCAGCTCGATCGAAGGGTTGTTCCCAAAAGTGTGATCGCTCAAGTTGTTCGCCACACTCCCCTGGAACGAAGCCCACGACCAGCTAGGAAACATCAGCTCCCTGCTCCCCGGCGCGACAAGCCTCGGTTTTGACCCCGCCTGAGGCTCCCACAACATGGCCACGTCGAAGAACATCTTTGGCATCCCATGCAGAAAACCACCATCATAAGTCCGGCTGAGGACATCCAGAATCCCAGAAAAGGCCCGAAGACCGTCTGCTTGGTACGTCATCCTCCTCCGTTGATACTGCCTCACCAACCCCTCGAAATAGCGAAAGTCGGGCCTCTTGGGGGTCTTGAGCTCAAAGGTGAAGTGCCTATCAAACGCCAGATGCGCCGGCCTTTTCTTCTCCGTCCTCCATGTCTCATCAACCACCATCCCATCCGGCTCCGCGGCGGCCCCTTCAACCCAGACGGAGCACTTGCACTGCCAGATCACGCTCCCCCTAAAAAAAACGAGCGACCTCCTCGACAGCAACCGTTCTTGGAACGTCCAAGCTCTGTTATGCCACGTGGTGAAATACCTCGCCTCCTCTGTCTCCGGCCCCGGACGCATCCGGCACTCGGGGGAAAACTCCAGGATTGGAAGCTCCGGAAAGGGGCGGGAAGAGCCCACGCCATGGAGACCAGTGTTGGCATCGGCTCCGTCAGCGGCAATGATGGTGAACTGGGAGTTTGCGTAGATGGAGGCCATGGAGGCGATTTGCTGGGATTTGTTGGCCTCGTCGTCTTGGATGATGCAGAGTCTATCCACCCAGAGGTAGCGCTCGCCCATGTCGCGCGTGACCTTGATGGCGTCTTGGATTGTCAGTGGGAGCCGGGGGAGGATCTCTGGGGAAGCGAGAGAGCTTGGGAGCTGGAGGGTTGAAAAGTTGGAGATGCGGGTTTCGAGGATGTCGGGGAGGACGCCCCAGACGTAGCTGAGGGTGGTGTATTTTGGGGGGGTGCCGGGGAACTGGACGAGGCGGTGCTCGTCGACGTCGATTAGGATCATGTCTGTGACGGGCGGTTGAGTGGGGGTGGGTCGGCAGTCTTCGTGGTGCTGTTCGCAGTATTCCGGCCATCGCTTGAGGGAGCTGATGTCGATTGTGTCTGCGTCGATGATCTTGTAGTGGACCGAGGTCGGAGCAAGTTCTGATGAGGGAAGCAGCTCGAGGTGATAGGCTGAGTGGTCCCAGCAACCACATCCGGTTCGAAAGAAGAATCGCTTTTGGGGAAAGCAATCGAGTCGTATAGGACAGGTCAGTTGGAGGGGCGAGTTTGGCGCTAGACGAGCGAAGGAGTCGAGGGTGTATTTGCAGGTGGCACATTTTGGATCGAAACTTGCGGCGAGTCTGATGATGTTCTCACCGACTGCTTCTCCTCGAATGGTCTTGAGAATGGCCTCTGAAAAGAAGGCGCAAGTCTTGCAGCCAACTGCCGGATGCTCGCTTGAGGCCATTGTGAACGATGAGCCCAAGGCATGTGGCTTGAAGATGAGGACGAGCTTTGAACTTGGCACCAGGCTCTCGGGTCCCGGGGCCTTTTCTGTCAATCCGCAGAAGCCATAGCCATAGCCATCGGGCAAAGCGGGGCTTTTCACTAGTTTGTGCGGCTGAGCATGGCTTCACTCCAGGGTGGTATTGCCGGCATGAAACGCTCCGAGGGGAAACAGCTGCTTACATCCGATGTCGACAAAGACTTCAGGAACCACGTACATGTATGTATATGTCTCTGCCGTTGAAATCTACAACCATGTCCCAGCCATCATACATACAAAAAGTCCACGTCCCCCCACTGCACAAAGTGATCATACAATACCGATGCTTTGACAGCCAACTGCAGCTCCTCCTTGGCAGCCATCTTCTCCCCTCTCCTCCAGTAAATACTCGCCAGCTGATAATGGGAACACCGTGCCAGCACCTTCATCTCAGCGGCCATCTTTGGCGACGGGGAAGAGCCGGTCTTTGCCTGATCAATCAGCGCCCTAAACTTGACCTCGGCCTTTAAATCATCTCCATAGCCCGCCAGCCAGATCCCATGTTCCAACAACTCAACCCCCGTATCCTCCTTCGTATTCGAAGAAGGCGGCTCGGGAGAAAGCAAACAGCTCCTCCAAGCACACCCCGCCATCGTGCCCCCCCTCATCCCCCTCGGCTTCCACTCCCCAACCGCATCCCCCACCCCATGTATATCCCCCATCAAAACCACCCCCAACGGCACCTCCAGCCCAACCTCCCTCACCATCCGCCCCAACACCGCCATTAAAAACCTCCCTGCCATCTCCCCGACCGACATCCCCTCCTCCATCAGCTCATCCACGGAGTCAACCTCCATCTCATGCCCATCCCCATCCCCCCCACTCAAAACCCGTCTCAGATCCCCCCCAAACCCCCCCCTATCCCCCTCCCCCCCACGGAAACATTTGACAACAATGTCCTCCATCAACCTCCCCGCCAGCTCTTTCAACGCGCCCCCGTCCGGTCCAGCTTGAAAGCACCCGAGAAAGTTAACAATATAAAACATCCTACTCCCTATCACGCCTTTACTCCCCGGTTCCAAGACCGCAAACGCGCGGTTGACAGCTTTGAACTGTTTAATCTCTTCACTACCCTCACTCCCATCCAACCCGTCAACGAGAAAAGATTTATTGATCGCGAGGGCGTACCGGATGGTGGAAAGCCATTCCAGTGAGCGCATGTTGCGGAGGAAGAAATCTGTTGTTCCCCAGGCTCGTTCGCCGTCTTGGAACATTGTTGTTTTGTAGAGGCGGGAGAGGAAGAGTTGGAAGGATTGGGGGGTTGTGAGCTGGGTGCCCGTGGTGTATTGTGTTGGGAGTGGTGGTGGTGGTGGTGGT